AATAATATTAAACAAATACATATTATTAAAATGAATAGTGGCACACAAGAGATTTTTTAGAATCAGTTAATTTCTAACTGACTGATCTAGTTAAAAATTTTTCTTTGGTATTCTATGGGAGTAAACGCTGAGGTGGAAACAAGGTACAGTGGAAGATCAACAAAAAAAGTCTCATTTGCCACTATGTTGAAATGTTACTAGAAGTATACCTACCTATTATTGAAAAATTAGCTCATAGCTCAAATTTCTTGGCAGCAGCACAATTTTTCAAACTCACAGCTCCAAAGATTGAGTTACATCTCAATGAATAGAAATTTTTGACACCAAGTCTAATATTGAGGTTATTGACATCTGAATATTTGGCACAGGACAAAGTTTGGACATATTAATTCTTATTTACAATTCAAGCTTATGGTTGGTCCAAACAAACATCTTTCACATAAAGGCTTTATTTCATAATGTTGTTTCTTATACTGTACTAATTATTTTGTGTTCATGGGGGCTGGCATAGATAGTGAAAGAAGTAGAGCCACCAGAACAAGCTTATAATATAGGAAATGGCATGAGGGGGCAAATAATAATTAAGCTTTCCTTCAAGCCATTGTAACATTATTAGGCTCTCACTTTTGGCTGCAGGTCCAATCACAAACAATTGATCAATCAACACATTACAAAGTGTGAATTGTTCCTCACTTCCTGTTTTGATTGTTAACATTGCCTTTATTGATTGTAAGTTGATATGAACCACTCTCCATTCTCCATACTGTTGTGAATTATCCTCTATGGAGAAAAGAATGATAACCATAATCAGTTAAAATCCTGTTGTGATCTAGGCCAAAAGCTTCCAAATTTGTTGAAAATATGTTACTTTGGAGCCACAATATTTTAGCCCCTATCATATATTTCAGCAGTATATATACTACAATGCTCCCAGTCCCGCCTCCTGCCAAAATAACATGCAAAATGTAATAACCTCAATGAGTCAACCTAAAAAGTTTCCTTGAATATTGCGTATTTGCAGTCACATCAGAGCACTCAGAGTGCATTATCACTTGTTTAGTTGCCGCTTAAGTGAAGGTAAATGTTAGTGACTATTTTTAGGGTAAAATTAGAGATGTGGGGTAACATGTGCATGGGACTTTGTAAATAATATATTTGCGGCTCATAAATGGCTTTTCACAGCTGAGATATGGAATTCATGGCTCAAAGAAATGGAATCATGGCTGGCAAACCCATAAAACCAAGGCTCAAAAAATCCAGTCTCTGCTCGGCATGCCAAGTAGATATATTCCATGCCTGGTAGGGTAAACGCGCCATATTCCGACATCGTGGGTAATTCCAACACTTCTCAACTTTTTCCTTTATATTAAGCTTTGTCTTAGTTCCATGCATGCGTAGATGGTTGAAATAGTGATGTCATACTATTGTGCGCCAGAAATGGCCAGATTCCCGCTAACCACTAGGTCTGGCGGGAAAATGTTAAGATCCTCAGAGCAAAAGTCCATGTCAACTAGTGAGAACATCGAAACGCGTGTCAAAGTTGATAGTTGACCTTGCTCTACCAAATAGTGATAAACTGTTTGTGTATAAAGAATATTATGGTTTGAGACTTTTAAACAAGTCTGTGAATATATTAGGAATCCTTCAAGTATACTTGCATTTGCTGATTTCAAGTGGTAAATAAATTAATAGATGATCAAGTTAAGAGATGGTTTTAGTTGAACATAAAAACTAATTCCGACACAGCTTGGAATTGGACACACACAGCTCGTTACGAGCTGTGTTCAAAAATTAAAATTTTATTAATTAGAAGCTTAATAGCTCTTAATTAAAAGCTTAATTGAAAAATTAAAATTTTTTACTAAGATTGTTCCCAGCTGTATCGTATTCCAACAGCTCACACAGGGCGTCAGAATTCCAACACAGGGCATCGGAATTACTAATTAGTAAGAGTTTGCAGCGCTGTTGGAATTAGTCTTACAATATGCCTAATTTAGTCACACACAGCATTGGAATTCAGGGATTTTGTAGATTTGAATTCTAAAGGCTTTCAAATAAATATGGCAACAGTTTGTGACGTTTCATCGACCATCGTTGCTGGCGCGTAGTGTGGTGTTTTGGGAGTGACGTAAACCATAGTGGCAAAGCAGAGAGTTTTTTAGACTCTCCCACAAGTTCAATAGGTATTGATTAATATAAGTAGACCAGTAAACTTGCGTAAAGTATCATGGATACCAGCATTATCATACATAAGAAATTGGTTTAAATATTGAGTAATTGAGGAAATTATAAATGCACTGATTCTAAAAAATCTCTGGTTTGCCACTATGACGTAAACATTGTAAAGAATTTGAAAGGTTCTGTAGTTATACAATGGACTATACTAGAAACAATTGATCTCAGTGTTCAGTAAAGCAATCAGAACTTGAGTTGTGCATACAGTAATCTTTTTATAGCCATTCATTTCTTGGTACGTCCTTAGTTAGTTAGTTAATGACAATAATGAGTAGGAATATGGTGTGTTTACCCTATAACCTTATTAAGTAGGCCCATAGTGGCAAAGCAGAGAGTTTTTTAGAATCTCCCTCAAGTTCATTTTTGAGTCCTATAACTTATAAGTAGAACAGTAAAGTATCCTGGATACTAGCATCATCATACTTAAGAAATTGGTTTAAATCTTGGGTAAATGAGGAAATTAAAAATGAACTGATTCTAAAAAAGCTGTGGTTTGCCACTATGAGTAGGCCTACTGTGAAAGTTGAAGTTTTTATGAAATAACATACCTATTTGTGGTTGTGAACCCCAATTTCTTTATTGGGGTAAGGGGTTCAATTTGTAGAGTCACTAGTAGAGTAGAGAGTAAAGTACTAGGAGTAGGAGTGTAGGACTAGGAGTAGTCTGAGTAGACTGAATAAGAAATGTTATTCTTGGTAAAATTTTTAATGTTAATCATAGACAAATAAATATATGCATGGTAATAAACTGTGGAGTTAAAAATAGAGGTTGTAATAATAATATACTAGTAAAAACGTGTTAATTAAAACGAATTATTAGGATTAACTGATTTAGGAATAATTTTAACTGGTGTGAATATTCAGATTCTTTCTCAAATTTCTCATTTCTTTTTATAGGAGCACTGGAAACTGATCCATGCAGCCCCTTGCCAAAACAGGGTTTAAGTCAGTGCCTCACAGTAACAGATCTGAATATCTTATAATCAGTAAATCGTGGTGCAGAGAAATCAGAAAAGTGAATATTCCGGATAACGAATATTCAGATCGATAGCGGACTTTGGCTCATTGTCAAATACGGGTTTGTTTACAATTTGGAGGCATGTAAACTTGAGATACCCGCTATTTTCTGCCAGGCCCTTTAAGTAGAAGGTTTTTCGCTAATTCTTTTAGAACGATTATACTTTTTTTCAAGGCTTTATAAAAATGAATTTGTCGTTTTATAATAAATCTGCAGCCCTACTTACTGCTTGCTTTCTTTAATACATAAATTAAAACAGTTTTTGAGAGGTTTTGGGTTATTTAGGCTATTATCAATCAAGTCAATTAAAAACGTTTGTGGCTTTATATATTTTTTAGATAGAAAACACAACAAAATTGAGCAGAATTGCTTGTCTGAGTTGAATTAATTTTTCTCAATCATAAATAAGTTGTGATGACGAAAATCTTTATTTCTTTCCGTTCTCCTGCGCTTTTAAACAAACATATTACAAGAGACCCGTGGGTAGGTTCTAACCCAAGAACAAGATCCTTATTTTCTTGGGGAGAAATAAGAGGACACCAATTAAGTATAACAAGAAATAAGAGAACACTCATTGAGCGCATCAATTTTCTTTCAGAATTCTACACGAATAGCCCTGTTGCTAGGTTCAAGCCCAGCGAAACGCTATTTTAAACTGGGAACGTCTGATCTCTGATGGAATATAGACATAAAGAACTAAAACTGTAGCTATGCTCTAGCCCAAATAAAAGTCCATTTTTAATGAGTGCATCCACTCGCGAGTGAAGGCATGTGGTCGTGGATTTGACCCTAGGAACGAACACATTTTTTCAGACGTGAGCGCTCGTTCTCATGTGAAGGTATCGTGCTGTATAAAAATAGATTTGTGAGACACTAATATTGAATAAAATAATAATAATATAGAAAAACATTGAAATATATTCTAAACACAGCCAACCAATCGAAATATTATGTCATACGCAGCGAGAAAATTTGAGTAAATGAATACTAGTGAAACAACTCCTGATACATTCCTCATGGTTCAACCATGACATTCCTATAACTGCACGAATAAATTGCGCTCTCGCCCTAAAATTTCTCGTGGTTTTAAAACAGACCAGGAAAGAATTTTGGTGGCGCTCGCATCGCCTTATAACGAATACCAACTCATGTTCATCACATCAGGTATTTTTTCGAAAACTACCTGATCTTAACGCACACTTACAACAAAAATAAATTATCCTTAAAAATGTTATTCTATATTAATTAGGAAGCAAATTAGTCATAAAATTATCTGATCTGTCTGAGTATTTTTTCTATCGATTAAAAAGTGAATTCGAGTACTTTAATTGTGATCCCTGAGATTTAGAACCATTTAAATAAATAATTGTTTCATTATCTGATCAGGTAAGGTTATTAAAATGTTGTAATGAAATTCACACTAAAGAGCTGTCAGAATTCGAAAGAAGATCCATGTATGCAAGGCCCATTTCCCCTTTAATGTGAAAATAATTGCAGGAATTATGCCGGTTTCAGCAATTGTTTTCACAAATATTCTTTTTCTAACAATTAATACCAGAAATATGAAATTTACTGAATGGATCAGTAAAACCATTTCATTTTTGCTCGTTGTTTATACTTATAAAGCAATATAAGTTAACAGATAGTGCCTCAATGATTTTTTAGTCGTAAGTTAAATCATGGGAGGAAGTATCGACGAAACTTCTCCGCAATCCGACTTTCATATCGCGCGAAGTCTGAAACAGAAATTTGCTCTTAGACATTCGGTCCTGTACTATATAGGAGCAATGCCCGTCGAAGACCCTTGCATCGTTTTTTTTCTTTGGTTTTTGTTAGTATCAAGTCTAAGTGTCATTAGGTTATGATTTTAAAATACATGCTATGGAAAGCAACTATTCTTGACAACTTGACTCTTAATCTCTGACAATTTGAGTGTGTAATTCTTTTAATCAAAGCTACCAAGATATTCGAGAAAGTTCCCGTTTGTCTAAAGGAAGAAACCTGATTGGCTGAGAAACAGGATCGTTTTTACCTCCGGACCAAGTAACTTGAAGACCGCAGGTAAGAGTCACTTTTTAAATTCTGTATTGCCTACCTTCCTGAATATTTATTTGGCTTCTAGTCTTATTGGATTTTTTTTTAATAATTACTTATGTATTTACAGGATACATATCCGCATGAAGACATTCATGACGATTGGGAAATCAATTAAAGTTTCGGATCTGAGAAGAACCCTCATTAAAAAGTAAGCAAGTTGTGCTGGCTGTTTTCTCAAATCCTTCCAAGAACTAAAATCTGAAAATGGAACCTGCCGCTGAACAAAATGGCTTCCAGCAAATGCGCCTACATGACAAGATGATAGATCTAATCTCCAATACACAGGAAAATTGCATTCATCAAACCGTTCACAATCACACAACGATTAGGCCTGAAACTTTAGATGAAATTCGACTCGATTGCGTTACGGAAAATCGAACGTCAGACCCTAAGCAGGCCACGTGTCTTGTCCAGACCCCATTTCAGTCTCAAGATGAACGGCCACCGCACGTTTGTGTCGAAATCGAGCCTACGCAACCCCATCGAACCCAGGATAAAAATGAACAAAGCAAGTCATTCTTCTCCGTTTACTGCAACTATTCACGGTTTTGGAAACGATGCTCCGATATTTTTAGCTTCAAGAAAGACGAAGTTTCGCCCATTGACCTGAACGAATCTTTTAATGAAGACGAAGATGACGAGTCGCTGGACTTGGACGAGTCCAGCGAATCGGACTATGACAAGTGGGAGCGTATCTTTGATACTTCCAATTCCAGACTAGAACTCTTGACTAGTGAAACTGACGGAAGCTGGTCGAGTGGACCATGGTATCCGTAAGTATTTACTTATGCCTCTTCAAATACAATGATTAATTTAAACCTTTTTCGTCAATCCCTTCATATATTTAGCTTTACCTAAGTAATATTTGATTTCAACTAATTTTGTATCTTCGATATGCTCTTGCAATTTTGGTGTCCAAAAGCATTGCGGTCAAGTTATATATTAAATTTTACTCGTTATTACTGAGTGTAAATAGATTAAATGCAAGGCCGGATTAGAATTCCCGATCGGTCGTAATGTTATTTAAGTGGCTTAAATTATTTTTCTGAAGTCGCAGCAGTAAATGTTGTGAAAACCGTCCGTGACAGAAAATTTTGCCTCAATATGGCGTTGTGCCATGCCCAACGTCAGGAATACATAAGGAAGACAGGCAGGCCGAGCTCCCAATATTTAGTTGAAGACTGGGAGGCCGAGCTCCCAATATTTAGTTGAAGACTGGGAGGCCGAGCTCCCAATATTAGTTGAAGACTGGGAGGCCGAGCTCCCAACATTAGTTGCATTTGTTTCTGCAGACTATGCAACGTTCAACATCTATGGAGATGTGGAGGCCGAGCTTCAGATAAGTTGTTTCTGTTGTTGCAGACGACGTAACTTACGCCATTTCGCTCTCCTGTTTTTGAACCAAACCTGTCGGAATAATAATGTTGGAGTATACCATTACGAGCCTTTATAGATTTTGTGTCCAGAAAACTTTAATTTAAAAAGACACGGATGATTAATTAATTTTGAAATTTTGATATCAGTTCGTTAATAGTACGTTATTACACTCAAGTGGTGAACGATCGAATAACATTTTGAGACGCGCTCCTATAATTTTACAGGTTAGGATTATGAAAATCATTTAACAGTCTCTCTCACTTAAGTTGGTTGTGTCTGGCACAGCCCTAATTTTTTGAGATCGTAAGAAAACTTTTTATGTTCTTACTTATTTGTGCGATCAACAAGTAAAAAGCATATAGGTTGCAATTGGCATATAACGATTTATTTTGCGTTTATAAAAATAAATTAAGTGTATTTTTGCTATTCTGCTGTTGAGAATTTATTCAAACACGTCACGATACTTTGTTACTTTATTTACGACGGAAGAAACGCGTTTGCAAACAACATTTAAAAGGAGTTTCATCACACCGAATTTCACTAAAAATTAAACATATAAAAGTAGCTTATTTCATTCCATAAATTTGTAAACGATTTAGTTTTCCTCCGTCTATTTCATGTGGGAAAAGGTCTCCACGTTACTCACATACACTTGCAGTTTGATTAGGAAATAAGATTAGAACAATTTCAACCGACCTGGGCCCATACTTTCAAAAAAAGTTAAGAGATCGTAAGTTCATGAGCCAATCATTGACGGCCTTTGAAACAAAATCCACCAATCATAGACAAGAAAATAGAGCGTAAGTGCTTACGTTCACTTAGCCAGTTTTGAAAGTATGGCCCTTGGTGTTACGAGCTAAGTTGTAATTGATGTTAGCGAAATTTCAGATTCACTTTCGCTTAAGCAAGAGCGGGATGGAATGTCGCATACGTCCTCTAATGCATGCTAATTACATGACAACTCCGCCTAGGCCATCCTCAGCTCTGTTTGCTTACTAAATATGCGCTCGACGAATGTGCAAATTCTTTAGCCCAAAAGAAACAAAGGAAAAGAAGCACGCTTTCCTGATCAGCAGCTTAAGACTCTAGTATTCTTTCACGGTGGGATTTTCCTAAATCTTTTCAACGTAAAAATTCTGGAGCTTAGAGATCCTCTAAAAGGCCGTTGTGGGATATAATTTCATTGAACTAAAACCCGGAAGTTGACTGGTTTGGAACTCGACAGTTTCATTTGACGTAAAATTTTGGGAAATTCGTGACTCAGAAGTCGACTTAACCCAAATGATTTTTTAGGACAAGTGCTCTGCTTCTCTCATCCATATCATATGGAAAAAATTGGCTTTTCTAAAACAGCTAAGATCGAAAACGGTCGTGGTGAGAGATTTTTGTGAGAAAAAGTGAGAGTGGTGAGTCGTGGTGAGAGATTTTTTTGTCTCACCACGGTCGTGGTGAGAGCTTATGGTGCTGTGAAATTTATAAAGAAATTTTAATTTTTTCCTCATGATATATTTAAATCACATTTTGTAATAAGAAATATATGATTCAAAATTATTTGATTACATCTTATCCGGCTAGAAAAGTGCTGTCGGTATGTTCACCTTTGATTCTACAAAGCACCATATTTTTTTTAATATGAGCACACAATCGTTTTATTAAAAAAAGCGTTAAGGGTATGAAATTTTTAAGAAAGTAGAATCTTTCTAGGTTGAAAATAGTATCACTTTTATTTTAATTTATCATGATGAATTCAGCTGACCTTTAATGAAGATATAAATCACATAACTTTGAAACTGGATTCTGAGAAAAATAACCATACATTTACATTCACTAATTTGAAATACTAATGAATAAATGCTCATGTTATTGAACTCCTGGAATTACTGCAATCAAATTAAAAGGGCCTAAATAAAAGGTTGCCATTTAGTCTATGTTATTGGTTTCATTGGTCACTCTCTCATCAAGCAACAATATATTATATATCTCATTCTGAGAAATTGAAACCAAATCTGCACACTATAAAACTCAATCGACATCACCATATGAAGTTCATATAATCTGCGCTGAACCTCGTATGTAATCCTGACAAGCCGAAAAATTCGTCGTTCTATAGACAAGTAAGGATTGGAAGCTGCTTCATTACGGCTAAGTTTGCTGTAATAAGAAGCCACAGTTATGAATTTAAAACAGCTTGTCTATAATCAGAAGCTCGGATCAAGACCCTGGGAAGCCAACACGCATCATGGATCTGGAAACAAAAGATCATAAAATAAACCTTGAAGAACAAACGTGATCCCATGTAGACTTACTCGAGCCATCACGGCTAACTGATTAATTGGGACCATTAATGAATACATTAGCTCTCCCTGCGTCGCGAGCGGACAGGCTACAAGACAAAGAACAGTAATTTTTTGAACTCCAAAGCCATTTTATTTTATTCGATTATTATTGTATGGATTTGGTCCAGCATGATGATACATTGTTCGTTAACTGTTTTGATGTTGTTTACAAGTTACTGGAGTCACAATAAATTGAAAATTTGTTAGTTACTCGTTACAGGCAAACTGTCAGTTATTGAAGTCATTGAGCTCGAGATAATCGTTATTTAGAACATTACATCGTGAATTGTTCGCCGTATTGTGGTTATTGCAATTATGCTTAAACAAATCGCAAAAGCACCTATCGCTTGCGCTTCCATGGTAATAAATAGTTCCTTCATTTCTTCCATACGGAACAATCATACCTGCTAATTTACAGAATTCATTTTAAAAATTAGTTCCAGATCAAGATTTTGATGCTGCTGTTTAAGATGATTCCAAGTTCTGTGACAGATATTTTTTTAATATGTTAATTTATGGTGAAGCCCTTTAACTATTAGACTAGTTTTATTGAAAAGAGTGCAATTTTTGCTTAAACTTTTTTAGTGTTTAGTTTCTCCAGCTGTTTGATGATTTGTACAATAGTTGGGTCGACGAGACTTAAATTTATCCAAATGAGAAGTTGATAAAATCAGGCGACGCGCTTAACTCTAAATAATTTTTAAATTAAAGTCACACTCATTCCGAGCAAACTTCTATAAATAAAAGTGCCTATATTTTCTTTATTCAAATCATATACCTAACAAAATACCTCGATGCGTTCTCCCATGAGGAGCGTATGTCTGGCGAGAGCCTCCCTAGTGCCGGCGTCGGGGTAGTGGGTAACCGCGAAGGCTCGCTCCAGGCAGGCCAGCTGCCTCTCCGTGAAGATGGTTCGGTGCCGCCGCTGCCGCCCAGTACTGCTGCTGCTGCCAGGGCTGCTAGCAGCGTCTGCAGGGTGGCAACCAGTCTATAGATGGTATGTATACGTTATACCAATTGTTAATAAAGCATAACTATAAAAAATATAACTCAGTACTCACTGCTGTGTGAGTGACAGAGCGCGCATTTTCTCGTCGACGAAAACGCGAAGTCATGGACACACGGACGGACATGACGAGCATTTGTCCATAAATGAGAAAATGCGCTAAAAAGTGGTAAAACAGTGAATAAGTACGCCGAATATTCAAAAAAATTATAAGTAGGTTTAGATAAAATGTCTGAGGAGAAATCAGCTTCAAATTGACATTATTTAATTTTTTTTCAGAAACATTAACTACCAAAAAGTTTTACAAATTGTTCTATGATGTTCATTATAATCATGTTAAATTGATCGATTTCCGAATATCCTCATTAGTTGTTTAATTGCAATTGAAACTGTGCGTTAACAATCATGTCATTCTCCTCGTCTCTTGCTTAAAATTTACGTTTTATTCTGATAAGAGTCGTAGTTTATTTTTACCATCAAACTGGAGGTAGTCACTTGGTTTCATATAAATTTTTTGAGTGGACTTTACAATATCATTATCAAATTGGAATAAAGCCGGGTTCCTGCTCCCATGGTTAGCGGGACCTATAACACGATGACGGACCATTTATATATAAGGGGCGCGTCTCTTCTAAAAATTATCTCCTAAACTACATGACCGATCTTTTTAAAACTTGGTATGTATAAGAAAATCGCTGAAAGAAAAACTTTTCGCTCATGTGAATTTTGTGAAAAGAAAACATGAAATTCATAGAAAACGGCAAAAGGGGGTCCTTTAAAAATCTATCTCCTCCTTTAATTTACGTGCTACACCATCAAGAGACATACAGTATCATTCGCTTTGTAAAGAGAATGTCTAGCGATTCTAGAAGTCCATTTTTCGATTTATAATTTACTTATTTTTCATTAAATACGAAGATATGGTCTTTACACATCGAATATGTCTTTTAATGCTGTAGTGTGAAAAATCGTAAGAAAGATACATTTGTGAAATGGCGTATTTTGGAACTTATAATTGTTCAGGGGAGCCAAATAAGTAAAGTTTTGAGTGGAAAAGAAGAAAATACTAAAAATGGCTTAGTACTGTAGCACTGCTTTC